ACTAAATATATTCTGGAAAAAAACTTTTGTTAAAGTTTAATTAATTGCATTTTTATTCTCAATATCTCTAACATGTATGCCGGAAGGGGATAAAAGATTCTATAAAAATATAATATTGGAATATTATATTTTTAAGTAAAAAATGTTCAAAGAATAACTTTATTACGAAGAACGGGTATTAAAAGGATATGATAAATATTAGGGGGAATCTTAAAAATGCAATTACTAATGCAAGAGTAGAAGAAGGGGGGGGGGGTTGACTGCTAAAAAAATAGTGTTTAATCTTAATATATATTTTTTGTTAAACATTGCATTCTTTGACTGTCCTTAAAGTTTTTCCTAAAAATAGTTTGCGAGACAAACTTTAAATATTAGTTTGAGTGAGTTCTGCATTAAGGTTTCAGTTCTATCCGAGGGGTCATATTTACCTAAAACATAATTCTTATTGCACTGTTACAGATTTTTTAGAAATGATTTTTGGGGTTTTTTCAAATGATTTAGCAAAACTAATTTTTAGCCTAATGCTAAATATAATTATGTTTCAATATCTCAAGGTTTCAGTATCCTAGGGTTCAAATTTACCAAAAAGATCATACCATTTAACCATAATGCTAACAATAATTTTGTTTCAATTTCTCAAGGTTTCAGTATCCTAGGGTTCAAATTTACCAAAAAAAAGATTTTCTATTGCCCTCTTTTATCTTATCTAATTTATCAAAAATATCTATTAGTGGTTTTAAATAATTTAACAAACTTAATTTTAATCTTATACAAACCAAAATTGGGTTTAAAGTCTCAAGGGGGGGGGGTCAGGGGATTATGTGCCCCTGTCAAAAAATGTTTATATCTTCTAATTGTCAAAGGAAATAGTCGTTTCATTTGTGTGTTGGTCAGCTGTGTTCTCGAACCTGAAAGTTTTCCCTCCCTACCCTGACAACCTGATAAGTTTCTGGGAGAAAATTCTCACGGAGCACGGTTCGTTGAACACGTTGAACATTTATAATCTGAACAAGCACGAATATGAATATTGTTCTTCAATCAAACAATTGCAAATTCATCCTTGTTCATACAATTGTTCGGCGGTATCGCGTGTCTTGTGCATTTTCTCTGTATCCGTAGTTTGTGCTACAGTTTACAAACTTCTATAAAATAATATTGTATTCCAATGTATCTGTATCCTTGTATCTTGTATCTAGTTTCTCTGTATCTTGTATCCCTGTATCTAGTATCCCTGTATTTAGTATCCGTGTATCTTGTGTCCCTGTATTTACAATCTGTGTATTTAGTATCCTTGCATCTAGTATACCTGTATCTAGTATTTTTATATCTAGTATTTTTATATCTAGTATACCTGTATCTAGTATCTATGTATCTAGTATCCCTGTATCTAGTATTCCCGTATCTAGTATCCATGTATCTGTATAGTACCCCTGTATCTAGTATCTATGTATCTAGTATCCCTGTATCTATCCTTGTATAATATATCCGAGTGTCCCTCTCAATTTATTCAAAGTTTAAAATATTTTCATTTTCTTCTTATCCCTGCTCTTCTATTCATGAAACAGGGTGGGACAAAAAAAACACAATATAACTTTTCACTAGTTGTTACAGATTTTTTCAGTCCCCATTTTGTATTTTTTATCGGGTTTTTAAAAAAATATTTCCAAAAAAGATATTTTTTTGAAAATAACTTTCTTTAATTTTGTCTCAAAATACATTTTTCTTTCTTGTAATATCAAATAGACAAAGATTATGTTATTTATTTTGCAAAAGTGAGAATCTGAATCAAGATTTATGAAAAAAATTAAATTGTTAAAATTTTTAATTGTTCTCATATATATACTCTATTGAGTTGTATAAATGTTCAAGTCATGTTTAGATATTTGTATAGTTGTATTGTGTACAGTATATACTCGTATTTGTTATTATTATTAACAAGCTAGTATTTACATATTAATTAATATACATCTTAGATTATATTAATGGAAAATACAGGAAGGAAGGAAGGGGGGGGGTATATAATGAGAGGAGAAGGAGGAGGGGTAATGAAGAGAGAAACCAAGGTGTAAAAGGGGATATAAGGAGGGGGGGAGGGGTAGTGGGTAGGGGGCTAAGAAACTGAAGTAGGGGAGAAGAATTGGGGCTAAGTTAGTAGCCGGGAAGGAAAGGGGGGGGGGTTATCGATCCAAGATTTGGTCTGAGAGTACAGAGTACACTGTACAGTGGAAATACTGAGCCCAAAACTTAAAACAGGGTATCGTTATGAAAACTAGTTTTGGAACCCGGGTTTCCCTGATGGGTTTAGGCAGTTTTGTGGATATCAGTATTTTTGTTATGAAATATTATTTTATTTTAATTTCTTCATATTCTCCATTTTTTTCGAATTTCTTAAATCAAAATCTATACAAATGTTAAGACCCCAAAAAGGAAACTCGGAGGTTTCGTTCAACGATACTCTTTTAAATTTCGGGCTCTGAACCAACTTGTGGATCAATACTCCCAGACTCATTCCTTAGATCTCTAGCAGGGGTTTGCTCTTCAGTATAATACTATACACGGAGTAGTTCAATCCTTAGATCTCTAGTAGGGGGTTGCTCTTCAGTATACTAGTTTACACGGAGTAGTTCAATCCTTAGATCTCTATTTGGGGTTTGCTCTTCAGTATAATACTATACACGGAGTAGTTCAATCCTTAGATCTCTAGCATGGGGTTGCTCTTCAGTATAGTAGTATACACGGAGTAGTTCAATCCTTAGATCTCTAGCAGGGGTTTACTCTTTATTATAATAGTATACACGGAGTAGTTCAATCCTTAGATCTCTAGCAGGGGTTTGCTCTTTAGTATAATTATAGTATACACGGAGTAGTTCAATCCTTAGATCTCTAGCAGGGGTTTACTCTTTAGTATAATTATAGTATACACGGAGTAGTTCAATCCTTAGATCTCTAGCAGGGGTTTGCTCTTTAGTATACTAGTATACACGGAGTAGTTCAATCCTTAGATCTCTAGCATGGGGTTGCTCTTTAGTATAATAGTATACACGGAGTAGTTCAATCCTTAGTTCCCTATACACAATTCTCCTAAAATTCTGTTATTCTAGAATCTAGATCCTTAAAAATGTTGATTCTTGATACTTAATTCTAGAACCTATTTTCTAAATTCTCAAATCTACATTAAATCCTATATCTTAGATCCTAGTTTGACCCCTTAATCCTAGTTTTTTCTAAATATCAAGTTCCTGGTTTTGAGAGTGAAGGATTGAAGGTTTTATTTGAAATATTCATTTAATGGCTGGACGCGGATGCATGGGAAACCAAATTGAAGATTTCCAAATCTTTATTCTTAAGGTCCGGGTCCAACGTCATATGCTTTTTCTTTTTCAAGAGAATTTAGAATTTTCTATAATTCCCGATTCCCTAAAAGATGAAATCAATGTATTTGGTAAAATGTTCGAAGCTGGATTCTGATTTCATGAAGGTTCCTTGTAACTTAATATTTAATCTTTATACGCATCTCATCCGCTTACTTTCTCCTTGCGTCAGTGCGTATTAGCCCACGCAATGTTTGCGTAATCTGCATAGTAATATTCTCAGCTGACATCCTAGAACTTAAAACGAATTAAGATAATATTATTTTTAGAAAATTGGATTTAATTTTAAATTCTCGGATGTTTTCTTTCTCCTCTGTCTGAGACGTGAAACTGTTGGATTCAAAGCTTCTAACTTATGCCACTAGAACACAACCCTTTAGTTTTACAATTGGGATGTTTTGTGAGGGGTATATATTTTAAATAATATTTTTTGTTGAATTATATTAAAGCGTAGAGGCGGAGATGTAATATATCTAATTTCAGAGCAATGTAATCCTTTATGGGTTCAACTAAATAAACAATATCTTGTGTGTTTCGAAAAATCAGTTTTTCATGAAGTGACGAAAGAGGATTGAGGGAGGATCGTGGGTGGATCGAGGAAGGATTGAGGGAGGATTGTGGGTGGATTGAGGGAGGATTGAGGGAAGATTGAAGGAGGATTGAGGGAGGATTGAGGGAGGATTGAGGGAGGATTGAGGGAGGATTGAGGGAGGATTGAGG